ATGTTTGAGAATTTGATTATGTCACAAATATAGAAAGAATGAGAAAATTCTCAAAAACTCCTTTTGCCAACTGAATTGTCTAAAAAGTGAGACAAAGGCATTTACAGTGCTTCCCCTAAGCAACCTTTACCAAGTAGGATTAAACTATAAAACAATAGTACTAGTAAAAATTAGAAAAATTAAATGTTGAAAAGAACAAAAATTCTGAAGCTACTAAAATTATAATAGTAGACTGGTAAATAATATAATAGTTTTACTTAAAAGAATATAATTTCTGAATTATTTCAGAAATCTAAATCTAATCCATTTTGCACCATTCTCATTTTGTTGGAGAAAACTCGTCCACAATTTTTGAAGTGACAAAGGATGTCAAACCTTGATCTTCGGGCTTCATCATGAAAATTCAGCAAACTCTGCGCTTGGTCATTTCTTCAATACCAAAAATAATGGAAATACAAAATTGTCTAAAAGTGTGAAATCAGCATTTTCTTCAATATGTTGACAAATCAGTAGCAAGTTTTTCCTGTATAACTTCCATAGAGCTCCTTTTCAGGGAACGATCTTGAGCAATAGTTCATATGTAGTTCTTGTTTCTCCACCCTAGGCATTGCTAAGATGCAGCTCCCTAAAGGGTGAAAAAAAGGCCTACTTGTTCAGCACCTAAATCATCTTCATCAATAGACATATAATGATTCCCTCTCCCTTGCATCTCTTCCTTTTGTTCCATTTCAACATGTAGGTTGTTCTTCTTTGAGCAATATTAACCCATATATCTAATCTTTTCACACTTGAAAGGCACAATTTTGTTATCTTTGGAAGGAGGGTCGGAAATTGATGTTATCATCTCATACCAACTAAATTCAAATGTTTAATTCTTTAATTTTTATCTATACACTCAATTAGTGAAAATATTAAGGTATGAACTTTCTCACAGATTTTCTCGAAGTAATTAGGAGGTATTTATCTTCATGAATAATAACTTTCTTCTCGTCCCATATTTCAATAGCCGATTGTTCTGTTCTCATCAGATTTTCATCAATATTGTATCATCATATTTTTTTCAGACTCACAAGCTTCATGTTGGCATATCTAACTTTCTATGCCTCCAATATAACATACCAATTGAAACATTCTTTGATGGACTAAGCCAATTGAGGAAGAAACAAGAATCCCTTCTTCCCTCAAAATCAGGAGCTTCAACTTTTACCTTCTTGATATCTCCAGCAATATTTCGACATGTCACCTATTAGCTACAAGGACTTGTGCAACTTATTAAGTTTTGAATTGGCAGGATTACTTGTGCAGCACACAAGTTTCTTAATTTTTTTCAAATTTAAATTAATTGTATTTGCATTATTCCAAAAATGGTATTAGTGTCTGCCTCGTGCATCTTGTCTATTATTAGTTCAACATTACTTGCCATTGTTGAAGCTAGACTCTGCAATCTAAAGAGAGGAACAAAAAACAAAATCTTTGAACCAGTACTGAACTGGTAAAAGAGGACCTGGTCTAGTCAAGCTCAGCTAGTAAAGGAGTCAAAATAGGTCAGATTGGTGAGTCCTACTCACAGCTAAGCATGCATTTGGCTCATGGCCAAGCTTTTTTTCACCTAACAGAGCAAGCCTCATAGCAATTGGCACGATAGGAGATGGTAGTTGTAGTGTGGTAGTGTGAGACATGACTGCAAAAAAGGCTGAAGACTGAGAGAAGCAGTGGCTGGGGGTGCTATTGCAACTGCAAGTGACGAATTCTTGAAAGAGTTTCAAGGCAGGGCTTTGGATGCTGGCAGATTGGAAGGTTCTGCTGTTGGCAGTATGGCTGTGTCAGTTATTTGCCTGCTGTGGTGGTTGACCTGAACTGGCTGCTGTTTTATGGGAGTAAGGGTTTTCTTTTATTTATTTTTTCCTATTGTTTGGTAAGAAGGTGGTTATGTTGGGAATAGACTTTTGGGTTTTCAATGTAAGATTTTAACTCTCATATCAATTGATGTAGGATAAATTATAGCTAATTTACCTATTTAGAGATTTAGGAGTGAAAACTTAGGTATCATATATAGAGTTTGTTAACTAAACATTTTAAAAACTATATTTAAGAGTTTGATTACATCATACAACCAAAAAGCATTGAGACAATTCTCAAAGTCATTATATAACTGAATTTTCTCAAAAATGAGATTCCAAAAGTATTTACAGTACTTCTTAAGTAATCTTTCGCAAATAGGATTATGTTCAGAAATACGAATATTAATAAGTATGGGAAAACTAGATATTAAAAAGAATAAAATCCAAAAATACTGAAATTACAATAAGAGACTCCTAAATAGTATAACAATTTATAGTTTAAAAACTTATCATTTCTAATCTATTTAGAAAATCTAAACCTAACCCATTTTGCATCATACTAGCCACAATATTTCAACAAGCAACAATTGCAAAAAATGGACGAACAGAAAGTACAAAAGATGAAAACGAATGAAGGACAGAAGAAACAAAATGATGGTGACTGCTAATCCTACACAAAACCTCACTTACATCAGGAGTCGACAGAATATCTGCGGCATGCTTACTGAGTCTGGGATGCACAAGTACAAAATAAATTTTCCAAAAGCAATCTTCACTCATATACCCAGGACAAAGTTCAATCCTAAGACTTGCCAATCTTGGTGAAAGTCGTTCCACTGCCAAAGCATGTTCTTGTTGGGCATCAGACATGTCAAAATCTGTGAAAATCAAACGAAAAAGATCTTTGATATCAGCTTGATTTTCATTCTCAAGAGGAGCAAAATCCGATAAATCATAACAGGAATAAACATATGAAAGCACATTGTCATTTCAACTGCACATCAAAATGTAAGCCAAATATGCATATGGAAAAAAAAAGTCCAGACAAATGAATCCTTAATCAAGATTAATCTCAACAAAAAACATGTACAAGAAGGATTGAAGTGACAAGTCTTGCCTAGAGTGCATAGATCGACGCAACTACGACACAGCTCAACAGCCAGACGTCAATTTGAAACTATACCACTCCATTACTCAAATTAAGATATTAAGCTTAAATATACCTCTCTCAGGACACAATTAGTTCAGAAAATTTGTCCACTAGTAGACTTGGTTCCTAAACTCAGTTAGAGATAAAGTCCACCATAGAGCTGTATAATTACTAGAGGAAAACAAAATCAAAAAGGAAAAAAAAAAACAAATACGTTTAATGTGAGCAGCAGCTTGAGAGCAACAAGCCAACCCACATCCCATATCTACCGACAAAAACTCCTCCACCTCCAGGTACTAGAAATGTACATTTTTTTGCTAAATCAATCTTCTATATCGAAAATAGTAAAATATAATATATTGTAGCAAGTGAAAATACATACCCTCAAAATCATCATTATCAGGCAAAGGGAAATCTAACCAAGTCTCAGGATGCGTTGCGATATCTCTAGCGAACGCCACAACCTCTTCGGAGACACCAACCGCATTCCCGAATTGGTAATTGGCGACACCCTCTTCCTCAGATCCGAATTGGAGGAAATTCGAAGCAATCTTAGTAATCTCTGATACAGCAATGTTATTAGACAGCTTCGATATGCCTGACCTGAATCTGCCTCCAATTTCGGCAAAATCACTGCGGATTCCTGCAATCACAGCCTCGTCGGAGGCATCCGGATCGGAAGGCTGTTCCTTATCCGGCCGATCAGATGGCTGACTTTGTTCAGGCGGAGGAGGAGCGAGAAAGGAGGCGACTCCCCAGAATTGACGGCTTAGGGTCTTGCTGAGCTCCGAGAGATCCTCCTTGACGCCTCGGGGAATATTAGGCGATGATGATGGTGATTGTGGATCGGTTTGGTTTTGATCTTCCCGCTTTGATTGGTTTGTAGAATTGTCGTTGGAGCTATTACGGTAATCGTCATATTCATCGTCATCAAGCTTGAGAGAGTTGGCTATGGATCTAGCTAACCACGACATCTGGACCTTGCACTTGCAATCGTGACTTGCAGAGAGCTGAAGTCAGGAAAGGATATGGGGGAGTTCTGAGTGGTCTGGAAGCGACATCGTTTCACTTCTTTTCTCCCTTTTTCTGTATTTTTATTTAATTCCATTTTATTTACTATTTTTTCAGTCTTAACTTTTACGCCTTAGATTGAATTGTAGCAGTAGATAATTAATGTATAATAATGATAATAATTAAATAATAATGACATAAAATATAAATTTTTTTCATATTTAAATAATTATGTATTAATGTATAGTAATAATAAATATTCTATTTAAATAATAAAATAGTATAATTATATTTTTAATTAAATAATTAATTTAATAGTAATAAATGTTATATAAAAATATATAATGAAAAAAAATAAATTAGATAAAAATATAATTAAATAAATATTTATATTTAATAAAATAAATAATTATTATTTATATTAAAATAAAATTTTTGTTTAAGAAAGTATAATGAAAATTAAACATATTTTATAAAAATATAATAACAAAAAATTTTAAATATCATCAATTTTTAAAATCTATATCAAATTTCTCATTTGAATGCAACCGGCAACATCTTATCATGTTAGAAGTAAAAACAAATAGGATTGATTACCATTTAGTACTAAATAAACAGAGTGTTAAGCCCACAGCTTAAGCCCACAAAAGGCATGAGATTTAGCTTCACCAGCATGAAACCCCCCCACCCGAAATTCTCTAAAACCCTCGTATCTCTGTAAGAATGCTGCTCCGAAATCGCCTCTGTACTTTTAATTTCAAATCTATTTCATCAGTTCCATCAGCACAGTCTCATCCGTTCACGCACTGTCTAAGAACTTACTTCTTTTTCTCGACCCACAAACATTCCAACCAGAATCGTCAAATCTCGACTTCAGCTTCAAAAACATCGAAGCGGTCAATCTCCGATGCCGCCCGGTTCGTGCGCACTGTGCTTTTCGTCCCGCCCGGGGTTGAGCCTGACGAAGTCACTGACGAGATGATATTGCCCGGGTCCAACATCGTAATTGGACCCTATGCGGGTCATTCCCAGATTAAAGAGGTAGAGTTCGTGAAAAGCAGCGGTCGGGCTAGAGATTGCCCGAAAGATGACCGTCCCGAGTTTGCCATTCTGGGTCGTTCTAATGTCGGGAAGTCGTCGCTAATTAATGCTCTGGTTCGCAAGAAAGAAGTTGCTCTTACTTCTAAAAAACCAGGTTTGCATAGCAGTGCTATAGATTCCACTTTGATTGGAGGGTTTTTTGTTGTCATCTAATTCTAATTTGCAGGGAAGACTCAGCTTATAAATCATTTCTTGGTGAATAAAAGCTGGTATATCGTGGATTTGCCTGGTTATGGGTAAGTTCAATTTTCTTTATAGATAAGTGGCATGAATAGTAGAAGTTAGGAGCTTAGGAGGGACTTATTCATTGTGATTGGAAGTAATTGAGGAGAAAAAATTAATTTCGATTTAGGTTTTGAAACTTAGAATTATGTCCTTCGTCAAAAAAAAAAAAGGAAAAAAGAAAAAGAATTATGCCAATTTGCATACGTGTATACAGACTTTATGTGGTCTCCAAAGTGAGAATGGAGGGTCGGAATTACTTTCTACTTTCAAAATTCTACAGCTTTTACCTTTTTGGCTTCAGGAATATGGTTTCAAATGGTCGGTTTGAAATGGTAGGCTGGCGTTCAATGTTTTCTGCAGATACAGTGTCAAACATGCTTTGGTAGTTAACTGGGTTCCAGTTCATGGCTGCATAGAATGATATTCTATGGAGGCTACAGAACTGTTGCTTTTATGTTTAATGCCATATGTGTACTATGTTTGATTTGGATGAAGCTGTACACAATTTATTGATGAATCACCGGGATTAACTAGACCAGTGAATTATCTCTCCATGGTCTATAACAATAAAATTACTTATAGTCAATCATTCTTCCAATTAGATTAATCCTATAGAAACATCACTTCCATTATGAAACCTTGCCAAGTTGATACATTGATGCTTTAGCCAGACAGATTTTCTAGGGTGCCTTTGAGAATTATATTGGAATTGAGTAAACTGAGAATTGTTATTGTTACTGATTTTTCACATTGCTATTTACAATGAAAACCTAATAGAATGTCAATTATACGTCAAATAATAAAGGAAAAATAAACTAAATACAGGAATGATTATAGCAAATTACGAAAGAGATTGTAGTTATATGCTTATGTAGCTGACACAAAATCATATAAAACCGGCACTCTGGTACTATGAGAATTATATTTGAATTGTTTAAACTGAGAATTGTGTCCTTTACTTATTTTTTACATCAATTTTTATTAGTACAAACCTAATAGAATGTCAACTATATATCAAATAATAAAGGAAAATAAATTAAATACAAGAAAGATTGTTGCAAATTACAATAGATATTGTAGTCATGAACTTTTATACTTGACCCAAAATCATATGGCAATTGGATCCCAAAGTCATATTATGATCATGTCTTAAAATTATGTCTTACAGGCATTGATGTATTTATTTATATAGTAATCAATTTACATTGCATATTTATTTATTACAGAATCCTGCTGCACTATATTATTAAACTACCACAAAATGTTAGACATATTCTCCGAGGCATGTGCCTCCAAGGAACCATTTAGAACCCATTCTGTATTTTGCACTATAATATGTATGCCTTAAACGTAAAATGTTTAGTGGCTTTCTTCTTGATTTGCAGTTTTGCTAAAGCTCCAGGCACTGTTCGAGTAGATTGGTCTTCTTTCACAAAGGGTTACTTCTTAAATAGGGAAACTCTTGTTGGTGTTCTTCTTCTCATCGATGCAAGTGTTCCTCCACAAAAGATAGATTTCGACTGTGCTAATTGGCTCGGACGCAACAATGTAGTTTAGCTTTCTAGTTTTTGAATGTTTCATCTTATCACTGCTTGATTTTCTCCCTGGTTTCTCACCATTTTGATCCCTTTTTATTCGTGGAAAAATGCAGATACCAATGACTTTCGTTTTCACAAAATGTGACAAAATGAAGGCGGGCAAAGGAAAAAGACCTGATGAGAACATCAGAGAATTTCAAGAACTGATGAGAGAGAATTACAAGAAACATCCCCCCTGGATCATGACTAGCAGTGTCACTGGCTTGGGGAGAGATGAGCTGCTTCTGCATATGTCACAGTTAAGGAACTACTGGGATCAATAGTTATTTTGAGCTGTATTTTCTTTCTTTCTTTCTTTCTTTTTTCTGGTCTGGAAATTTTGAGATTTTATTTTGACAAAAATGAAATGTAATTATAGAAATGAAGCAACCTTCTACAGTTTTATAGTCACGTGACGAAGTGCTGTTTTGTAGCATCATATGTATACATACCGTACATTAAATATAGAATTGTATTTCGAGAACTCTCTAACATAAACTATTTAGCTGAATAAATACTTTACTAATAAATTTATTTATGCATATACATATTTGATGAAATTTAGAATGTTCTTTTTTATTTAATTTTATACGTGGGAAGTTTTTGTTTCATCTTAATGCAAATTATTATCTTATAATATTAAAAAATTATCCAAAAAAATATACAGGACAAAGTAGAATAAAATATTCTCTCTTCAAAGTTAATATAATTATTTAATTATAATTTTTTTTATATTTAATATAATCTTTTAAAATCACATATATAAGAAATTAAACCGTTAAAAACTTTTTTAATAAATTTAATTAAAATATTAATCATAATATACCTCCAAATAAAAGTACATAAATTTATAATTTTTTATTAAAGAAATCCACTCAAAATTCATACTCTCTAAAAGTTCCTTCCATACTCATCTCATACTCCTTTACAAAACCTCGTCAACGACTGTCTCAATCGTCAGCAGCCGCTACACGACAAAATTGAAACCCTTTCTTTATTTTCTGACACGAGCACGTGCACTTTACACGTGTGTAAACAGTACCTGCACACGTGTGTCTCCATTTTCCATGACGCTCGAGCATTGACCCAGCGGAAGAAAAACTTGTTGAAAATAAGGTTCTATTATATACGTAAGTTAGTTACTAATATTAATTATAATTAAATGATTACTGCCAAAAAACGCAGAGAGCTGGCCAACAGGATTATATTACAGTAACGTTATATTAATGTCGTAAGTAAAACCACATGCAATGATCATTATTCAGGGTAAAGGATCAGCAATACAGTAATTGGTTATGGCGACCCAGAAGCAATATCTGGTCTCTGTGTTGCCTGGAAAGAGACGACTGATTCTAAATGTAACACAAACACTTACACAGTTATATATAACCAAAAACAGAGGAGGCCTAAGCGTCAAGTGCTTTATCTGATCCAGACTTTCACAACGTTAATGATATTAATGGTTATGGAAAAAAAAGATTTGCGTTCTTGTTGCCTGATCATGTTGTTTGCAGTACTTAAGATACATAAAAGAAAGATACTTTAAAACTCCCAAACAGTGGAGAAGATTCTTAGAGGTGTATTGTCTGCTCCAGACTGGACAGAGTTCCCGGACTCAGAAGCGGGAAAGAATACCAGTTCTGAGAAGATGGCGACGAAGACGAAGATGATGAGAAATTTGATACTCCGTGAGAATTCATGCTCTCTGCAGTTGGCATCTTTGTCAGCTTATTAGCATCACATGATGTTTCAGCAAGTAAACCTTGGTAAATAGACGAAAACATCGGCCTCTGGGCCAGGGGTTCTGCTATATTAGCTCTAGAAAACAATGGGCGTCTGACGATGAGAGGTGGCCGGGTGAAGTCCGCTGCCTCCGTGCTTTTCAGATGTTGCTGGCGAAAGCTTGACGAGGCCGCCGGCTTACCAGTGAGCTTCTGCACCAAGTCTCTGAAATCCGCAGCGTCTACCTTGTACACCTTGGGCGGAACAGGCGGCATTGGTGCTATCGGCTGCTTCCATGGCTTCATGTTTTGCTTACGAACCGAATGGAGAGCGGAAGAATAATCCCTGCGTAACTCTGCAGGTACCCCTGTCACCTTGCCATGATCTCCCTCTTGCATGTCATCAGAGACACGTAGATAGGAAGATGAATAAAAAGGTGTATGAGGTTTCATTGCGGAAGAAACGGTGTCGTCTTGTAAGGGTGATATGAGAAATGAAAGATTGATGAAGTGGGTAGGATATATATATATATATATACAAATACCTAGAGAGGGGAAGGTGAGATAGGTTGATGAAGAAGAGAGGTGTGAAGAGTAGGAATGAAAACAACGGAGTTGAAAAGGGAAGTTTTATTTGGGAAGGGCAACGCCGGGGAGATCAAGCAACGGACAAGGCAGAGAGAAGGGGAAAAAGAAATTGAAGTGATATGGAGATGGGCGGTTAGATGTAAAGCGACTGTTGCTTCAATGGAGATGACGTGGTCAAGTGCTAAAAATTTGACCCTTTTTTGTATTATATTATTTTAATTTAATATTAAGATTTTTCTCCTCATCGTGAATTCTGTAAACAATATGATAAAAAGAAAATTACGAGTTTATTAGTTACAAACATTTAATATTTTAATTATAGTAATGCAATAATGATATTAACCATAGTTTTTTTATTAAATAATCTCCATCAATCATATAAACCGGTAGCTTACAATAATTTTCAGTTTGACCCCACCAGACGGATTCGATGCATCGGATGCACACAAAGTACTAATAGATGTAACGAACGAAAGGTTGGGTGCGGGCAGACATAGCCGCCTCTCCTTGCAATCACCTGGCGCGACAACATGTCTCCATCTCCGTTCAATTATTGATTATCTGTGTCTTTGACAAAACCCAATATGATTAATCATATTTATTATTGTAATAATATTTTAATTGACCAATACAACACGTCGCGAAGAGGTAGTTTAAAAGTATTTTAATTTCCCTAATCTTAATTAACTATTTAAGTACAAAAAAAAAAAAAAAAAAAAATTACCCTCCCCCCCTCCTTCTCTCGTTCCAGTGTGGAATATCACCTTCCATCTCATCATTTGGTCATTAAAAATTTAAACATTATTAAATTCAAAAGAAGAAGAAGCAACATCAGCAGCTGAGAAAGTTTCAAATTGGGTGTGCTTAAGTTCCTCAGCAGCTGTCGGTGGTGTATAGTTTTAGAAGAAATTAAATCTAAACTGCTGGGCGACGAAACGACAACGTATATAAAATATACATAACATCAAATATTATATAAAGAAATCGAAAGTTCATTCAGAAGATTCCAGATATTTGTTGATATTATCCAAACTCTGTTAGAACCATTACAAGCAACTTGATATATATATATATATATATACATGGTTGAAGATACATATAAAAAGTTTCTGGAGTATCAATTCATTTTTTCTTTTCCCAGTGATGATTTAGGGTTTTATTTATACTTTTTTTTTATTGAAGAAAATTAATTGTTAAAGTATGCACAATTATATTAAAATTATATATATATAATTTTGGTAGTGTATTTATATTCATACACAAAACCAGTAAAAAAAATTATAATAAATTAGTAAATCTATTTATAAAAAAATTAACAGAATTATTTGTAAATAAAATTATTTTAATATTATATTAAATATTTTTTATAATAAATATAAAAAAAAATTTAAATAAATTATTTTTTAAAATATAAATAAATATCATTAAAATTTAAGACATGTCGACATTTTTAATCTTTTTTATTCTTAGTATCTCTTATTATTAATGTAATAAATTAAATTATCCATATACAAATTAAATTATTTTCAGAAAAAAATTGTTTTCGGAACTATTTCTTTCAGTAAGCAGTGACGTCATAAACATTTTTTTTAAAACATAAACTATATTTAAAAAAAAGGATTTCTCAATTAAACTCTATTATTCACCCTAGATTTTAAGCAGAGAAATTCTTATTAAAAAAAATACGTAGGAGTCAACTTTATTTTTTTAGTAGATGATGAAATTCAATGAAATTAATATATTTTAAGTTTCATAATATTTATTTAATACTTGATATACGCCGAAAATAAAAAAATATATGTATACTGTTTATTAAATATAATAATATTCAAAAAAATTCACAAAATATTTTGAAAATACCATAATTAATTTAGTATAAGTTTAAATAGTCAAATGTAAGTTTAAATTTAAGTCTAATTAATCTCTTAAATATTTAAAATTACTTGACCCAATAAAAAATTAAATTATATTAAGTCTGACTAACATTTAAAAAGAGTAGAAAAGTATTTTGAATTATAAACTAAATTTGATTCAACTCAATTTTTAGAAATATTTCTAAATGTTTTAAAAATATTTTTACAGTTTTAACATACTTACATATTCTTAATATAATTTTTTGGAAAATATTTGTGCGTCGCCAATCATGAGAACACGTGAGTTGCGAGGTCAATCTCCAACTTCTCGTGAATCAAACACGGGACGGCCATTGCATATAATATAACCCGACAGATTTTCCCGTACATATATATATATTTCTTTAATTTAAAATTTTCTATTTTTATAAAAATTTAAAAGTAAATTTATATATATATATACATATATATTTTGATATCCAAAAAGATCCAGATTCCATTATATTTCAACGATTAATTATTTTCTAATTTTAATTCAATCAAAACAAAGTCACGGGTTGATGTTAAAATTTTACAAATTCGCAAGCCATAAATTAAAGTTAAAATAATGATTTTGTTGTTGTATTATTTATTTTTTAAAAATTAATTTTTGTTTTAATTCTTGGTTAAAATAATCTTTATCTTAATTTTTAATTAAATTAATCTCTACATTTTTAAAAAAAATTTAATTGATCTCTCTCGTTAATAAAAGTAATACCATTAACTTTATATTTTATAAATAAAATTATTTTATACACGATATTTTTTGATAAGTCACGAATTCACGTTAAATATTACATAATATTTAATATAACAACTGAATTTTAAAACTATTCTTTATACTTCTTTTTCCTCCCATGTTCATTCCCTTTATATAACGATTCTGGAATTTCAAAAGAAATTAATCATAAATTAAATACGAAAGCGAAATATTTAATTAGGGTTTACGTTTCTTATACAATACTTGAAGTACCAAATAATATTACGGGAATTACTTTTTTGAATGAAATATAAAAAATTAAAGAAATAAATAGAAAATAAATAAAACTAACATGTTACTCGCAACTCTCTTGTGGATTGGACTTTGGATTCTAGTACTATTGATCTGAAATGGTTAAATAAGGAATGAACTACACTACCCCACTAAAAATATAACGCTACTCACCGACGCATAATTGAACTTTAATAGAAAAATAAAAACAACTAATGTAACTCTTAATTAAACAAATTCATTTATCATAAATAAAATCTTTTACCATCTACTTACCGTAGTGAGATTTATAAAACAACTTATAAAAATGATAACATATCACAAATCATGATTTCATATGTAACCGATTTGAACAACAATTTATCATT